TCCTACTGAAGGATAGGCCGATTGAGCCCGAGCTGAGGAGGGAACTAAAGGTGGGTGACGTAGTCGTGCTGCTAATGGACGAAGGATCTGCGGCCGCGGGACTCGGGGGAAGCGAGACTCCTAAGTGGATGTCGCCGCGGTGGTCGCTCCCGTGCAGGGTGAGCGCCGTAACACCCACCCAGGTGACGGTCCGGAAGTACAACGACCCGAAGAAAACGGTCGTCGTACACAAGAGCAAGGTTCGGAAGTTCGAGATGAGTAAAGACCCGGTACTACGGTCCCTAACGGGAGATTACTTGGAGATCGCGACCCCGGTGACAGACACGCCAGAAGACTCTCGCAAGCGCCCGAGGCGGGCAGTCGCACCCGAGGACGAGCTGGCGGCCCAGCGAGTGAGAGAACTATTCGGCGAGAGCGCAGTTGGCGAGGAGGGGCGTGAGCCGTCGGAGGCCTCCGTGGGACGCCAACCACGCGGTGCCGATCGGGATGTCGCAGGACAGAACGTGTCCGCACGTAACGGGTGAGGGTGAATAAAAAGGGTTTTTTGGGGACGACATGACCAGCAGTGAGCGCCCGACGCCAGCAACAACGCGCCTCGACGACGACGACGAGAACGCTCACTCTCAGGGGCAACCGGGTACCCGGCCGGCACACCCGTATCGACACACCCTGACACCCTGTTCGGCAACCAGCCCTGCTGGGCATTTTGGGAGCGGCGTCGGGCACGAGACATCACGACCATGCCCGGCCTGGTGGCACCTACCTCCGCTGGCAATTCAAAATTTCGTATGAAGGCGATTGCTTGTCTACGTTTCCTGCGCACTGGAGGAGGTGAGGCGCTCGCGGCCTTCCTCGGTCCGAATGGGGCGATGTCGTCCCTCAGCGGTTGTGTGGCCAAGATGGCCGTAGTGTCAGACGGGACGCATGCCGCTCAAGTTCTGGTCTTGGCCCCCCCGAAGGAGCTTCTGGCATCCGACATGACCGACTACGATTGGCTAAGCAGATGGAACCGTCTTCGCGTTTACCACGGGCCGGACGAGTCCACCGAGCTAGCGAACGCCTCTGAATGCGTCGAGCGGACGCTTGCTCAAGGTTTGATTGAGCACGTGAGGGGCGCCAAGCCGTCAGTCGTCACTGCGATCTTGAAGGAAGCATTTGGCAAGAAGCTGGCTGTGTGGCATGAGATTCAAAAAACCAGAAGGATCGACGCCGAGGCGGTTAACAAGTTGGAGGTCTTAGAAGTAAGAGACTTAGAAGACGAAGAGCGAGAGCGAATACTGGCGGTAGTCCCAACGACGTGGATGGGGGTCGTCAAAAACTCGGGGAGCCCGATTCATTATGGCGTGGAGTGTCAGACTGGCTCGGTGCCGAATACCAGGGGCGTTCGTAAGAAACAAGCACTTGCTGCCGGCCTCGGTGTTGGAGCTGTTCTGGGTGGGGTCTTGATGTCAGGGTTGGCCCTGCACTTGTATGGTTTCCGAAAGAACTGTCTTTGCGTCAACATGTTAGAGTCGCATAACTCTACAACTACGCCGGATAACTGTACCTGGTCCGAAGCCGTGATTCGTGCCTTGTCTGACGCCAGTAGTACCCTGGATGACAACGCACCCGTATCTGCAACCACTACGCAAAATTCGATCACTGACATCATGAAGGAGGCAACTTGCAAACTCCGTTGGCCGAACATCGACGATGTAACGACGTTGATTTCTGAGTCGGAGTTGGCTGCACTGAGAGTGCCGATGGCCGTTTGCAAGAAGGCGTATAAGTTTGTGGAGGGGTGGAGTCCGTCAAGCAACGAGCTCGACACAAGGAAGCTGGTGACCGAGGATGGCCGGAGCAACGAGGTCTTGACAACGCCGATGATGCCAGCAACGACTGATGGCTGGCGCAAGCTGGACTGGGGCAGGTGTTACGGCAATGGGGGTAAGATAGTCTGCTCTGAGATGTCGTCTTACCCCCATCTGAGATGTCATTACTATGAGCATCCGTATCGTTACGATTTCCCAACCGTATGGGAGGCGATCGTGCGATATCTGAAGCCGTCGAAATGCTCTTTCCAGTGCAACAACCAAGAAAGACCGATTCTTGGCGGAGCGCTCAATGTATCAGAAACTAGGGAGCTTTTGCTTTCTCGCTTCGGAGCGGAGATCGCGGGATCGATTCCTGGCATTGACACGCACGGTCTGAGCGGTGAGCAACTGCAAAAACTGGGACTTCAAGTTGAGATGTTAATGACGAAGAGTAAGCCCTGCAGCCATTGGGAAATGCAAGCGAAGCCCCCCTACCGGGCACACGTTGCATTGCCGGGTTGTAATTGCACTAGCGCTAAACTCAGCTGCTTTGTCGAGACTCCATTAAAGGGACGGACATATTGGGGCTCTGTCGGTGACTTACACACAGTGGAGGAGGCACTCACTCAGTATTACACTGCATTCAAAAGACCCGGTCATGTGGTTACGGACTGTGGATTCGAATGCTTCCAACCCGTTAGCGACATGACAGAGCAACTTCTCAAGTATTGGAAAGACAATGGCTTGCCGTAACTTTGGTTTCGACTCCGCGTCTAACATCATCCTGGATGATATTGACGTCAAGACCGAACATGGTTTTTTCCCCAGTTTCGACAGCGCGTCCTAGATGCGGTTTGAACCCGGAAAGTCCAGAAGTTAAGTTCGACGAATAGTGGGTATATCGGGGGGCCAAGCTCACAAACCAGGCTGAGGCTTCGGACGCGTGGATTGCGAAGGGTTCGGGCGCTGCGGGAGAGTAGAGGTGGCATTTGGGTAAGGCGGATACTGCGGTGAAAAGGAAGGCGGATGGATGCTTCCTTAAACGATAAGGCGGCGCATTGGGCTGCGGTAAGGGGCCCTATCGCTGAACAATTTTTTCGGTGAGAAGCTGCAGAGGTGATCGATTCCCGGCGTTGACTAGGCAGCCATAGAAACTGGTATATCCGGGGCATGCATGGTCGAGAGATCGACACAACAGAAACGCCAAGAGGGGCTGATAGGTCGTCCCGTATGGTGTGTCCTGGTGGGTAGTGAGTGCCTGTTGACGCTGAGCTCGTCGTCATGAGTCGCGGAATTGGGGCATCGCGACGGAGACGTCAACGACGCGATAGAGCTCAACTGTCGACGTGCTGCACGAGCAAGCCGTTCGTAACGAAGTTCATGCGCTACCGTGTGACGACGCCGGGGTTTGAGAAGGCCATGCATGAGTAAGACGATCAAGGCCATGTTCCCCGATAGCCTGCTCCTGGAGGAGGTCGCGACGCAATTATTCCTTCGTTGGAAATGCGGGTGTGCTACGCGGTGTTGCCTCCGTCAATACGCCAAGAAGTGAGCCGGCTTGGGATTTTTGGACGCTGAGTACGGCAAGGGATTGCAGACGAGGTTGGCTACCAGGGCGACGACCATCGCCGCCTTCATACCTCGTTGCAAGTTCTTCTGCTGCGTCGAGGAACATGTCGGCATGTAACAACAGTGCGGGACACGCGCTGGAGGCACTCCAGACAAGTTAGTGGCCGCGTGTTACGGCTAGAGACACCAATCTATGCTCAGGCCAATGCGAGTGTGCGCAAACGTGCCAGGCACTTGTCTGAAGAGCTATTCGACTAGTTCTGGTCGGTCCTTGACCAGAACAAACGCGTGTTCCTTCGACCAATAGCGGTAAGTTCGAGGCAAACTTCAAGCTATCGAGCCGGCCCACGAATCCACGACTCGTGTGACTTCCGCCGGATAGCTGCGGAAGCAGGTGGAGTCACAGTTAAAAAAGGGCGCGACCAGCAAGGAGTTCACGACCATTTGTCATACCCAAGAAGACGGGAGACTATCGAGTAGTGATTGGCCATATACAGGTAAGCAAGAACGTGGAGGACGACGCGTTCCCGATTCCCCTGCTGTGGGACTGCTTGAGGAAGGCCACTAGTTACAAACAACTGGCACGTAGCGTTGAACTGCAACTGGGGGTTTTGGAACGTTCCAGGGATCTAACAAACGGTGTCCTGCCTTCTGCGCTTCGTGGAGCCACCATCTATCGTAACGTGTCACTCATGATGGCAGTGACACTATGAGGTTGGCCAAGGACGGCCAACCTCTTCGAGACATCGCCATGCGATGAAACACTTTCTAGCTCAGACGACACCTCCGATGATCAAAGGCGACAACTTCGCCTTGGGAGGCATCGTGGTGACCAGCACGAGCAAGATCGATGTGTTGCTGTACGATACGACTCAGGTCAGGGAGCGCCATTGAGACGTCAACGACGCGATAGAGCTCAACTCGTTGCTCGCTGATTTTTTTTTTGCAGAGATACAAGTATCGACGCGAGAATGTTCGCACAGGGCATTGCGACCACCAACCCCTTGTGACCAGTACCTTGAGTGTTCTGTCGTCAGCAGAACCGCGCAGGTCCTCCGTGGCTGAACTCAGGCCGCCGTCGTGCTCGTGGGTGGTAGACTCGACCATGGTTTACTGTTGTTTTG